TATATATATATATATATATATATATATATATATATATATATTCCCAATTTCAGTTTAGCATCTTTCTGGAAAATAGTTCTCAAGTTTAAAGTTCAGTATTTTAATAACAATTACTTGAGAAAATCGTTTTGCAATTGTTGATGATTACATTGCAGTTGTGAGTGTGTGTCAGGAGTAACATCCGCCATCACTCAGCTTTACATGTAATGAATACACTGCAGTGTGAATAGCCGAATTAAATAGGCATGTTTGTGTGTGTTTCAGCATGTGGTAAAATAGGGCTTCCAGTGAATGTCCAGTTGGGTTTCTAATAGCACTGCCATACACCCAATCAAGAAATTGAGAGATCGGACTATGGTTCTCCTTTACCATCTCTTCTCCATCCCATTTCCAATCAATCACCAAATGCTAAACATTTCTAATGTTTTCCTCTCTTCTTCCTATTCAAGGTCCTAATTTCCCTTTTCCAAGAAATTACTGCATCTGATTTTTCGGCCTTTAGTGCTTGCCATTCCTCTACCCACAGCCCCTAGTCGGTTCTCCATACCACTCATATTTGCCAGCCTTACTATTAAAATGCAGTTGTAATTTCAGGCAGTCTCCAGCACGGGTTTCAAGATCATTTATAAGCTGACGTTCCTTAAACCTTGCTTCCTATTGTTTCTCACCTGGTTCCTTACACTTTTATGACACCAAGTATAATCACTCTTCAGTAGGTTTCCCTCACACATACTCTTCACTCTACATTTGATGTCCCCCTGCTTTCTCTTGTCATCCTTGTTAACTCCCATTCCGTCTTCAAAATTCAGCGGTATTATTTCCTTTGCGATGTCTTCCTTAAGCCTCCTCCCTTTAACTATTTATTTATTTGATACTTTAACTATTAAAACATAGCTTGCATCTACTGATATATTTACTCTGGCTTCCTATATTTTTGGAACTGGTTTTATTTATCTTTGTATCACCAATTCCTAACTGATACTTTACAAAGAGTAAGTTGAATAAAATATTTCCTTATTCTGTCTTCTGTTCCAGCAAGGGAGTGAAAGCACGGTTCGTTGTGACTGATGGTGGAATTACCAGAGTTTATCCCAAAGAGTAAGTTCAAATAGCATTTGTAAAAATAAGTGCATTACAAAAGACTACTCCAAGGATCTGCACATTACTGTATAAGGAAGCCGTTCTTCAGAGAAACTGATCATTATCTGTAGATTAAATTGGAGTCATTGTTTAAAGTACTTACATTATTAAAATATTCCATTCCTTTAAAAAATGCTGTTATATGACTCTTCGGTGATGGATTTGTGTATCATATATATTACAAAATCTAGGATATTTTAAGAGAGATTTTCTCTTTGTGGAAACAAGCTAACCTAGTTAAATGACCATCATGGTTATAGCCTATTGGCTATATTGGCATAGCACTTCATTGTTTACTGTGTTCTTCAATGGATCTCACCTGTTTATCTTCAGAATAATCCATAAAATGGGCTGGGCAGGCTTATTAACACTAACTGACCTATTTACTGACTTGTACAGAACTACCTGGCTGCACATAACACAGTAGAACTAGGAGTCAGCTTTTCTGACCCTTAATATAATTCTATGCTGATATATTGCTTAGTAATGAGTATCATTTACCCCATCAATTACTACTAACTTTCTCAGACATACCTGAGATGTACACATATCTGTACATTTCAGTTTTGTCCAAAAAGGAGAAAGTAGGTTAGCAGGTAGATTAAAGAATAAAAATGATGAGTCATTTTTTCCTTAGGGCTGGAGAAAATTGGCAAGAAAACCCAGAAACGTATGAGGACAGCTTCTATAAAAGGAGCCTCGATAATGATAACTATGTTTTCACTGCTCCCTACTTTAACAGTAAGTATTACTTTAGAATTCAGCCTTCTCAACTTCTTTTCTTAAAATAAATTATTGCATTTCCGTTGACGACGTAGTCTGCAGTGGGGCTGCAGCAGGCTGCCGTGAGCTACTGTGAGTGGCCGACAGCCAGCATGAGCTGCCGTGAAAGACCGTCCAGTGGCAGGCGAGTGACTGCCTCAGCCGGAAAGAGTGCAATGATAATACCAACATGGGCCAGTGAAGCGACGTCCTCCACAACTAGACTGAAGAACAAAAGGACAGCAACTTGTCTGTTCCCTTTCCCCAATTCCAACGCTGTTCCCTCCCCCAATTCCCCAATAAAATCTTTAAAAAAAAAAAATTGCTACTACCTGCTTTCCCCAAAAACAATAATTGCAAGTTAATTGCTCAGAATAGTCATTATTAAGCATATACTATATGGATGGCACTGGAAAGACACGAGCATCTGTTTATTTGAGGAGATAAAATGCATACAGAGGAAACAGTCATCCAGTAATATAGAGACAGTATATCTACATGCATGCATAATGCATAGAAACACATGTAGATAATCCCTCATTTCACAAAATGCAAATATATTCAAGAGTGTTTAATGAATTTTTAAAAATGTAATGAATTAGTTTCCTCCACTCTAATTAGTTTGTTAAATATATTATTTATAGAAAGTAATAACAGCCCATATTTTAAAATATTTTATTGGTTCATTCCCTAAAACTTTCTAATTTAATTCCTCAACCTGTCTAGCAGTAGGTATTATTTATCCTTATTTTTACAAATGGGGAAACTGAAGTTCAGTAAATTTCAGAGTTTTTTCCAGGGATTGGTATCTTCTAAAATGCAAAGGCTGTTTGGGGACTCTAAGAACAATCTTTTCATTTCACTCCAGCAATATATTTTTTATTTTTAAGATTTTTATTGGGGCTGTCTTTTTGTTCTTCAGTCTAATTGTGGAGGACGTTGCTTCACTGGCCCAAGTTGGCACCATCATTGCGCTCTTCAAGGGTGAGGCAGATCAGTCGCCGGCTTCTGGATGGCCACTCACTGCGGCTGCTGGCCGCTCACGCTGGCTACTGGCTACACACAGTAGTCCATGGCAACCCACTGCCACAGAGGCTGCAGCCTAGCCATCGCTGGCGACTCATGGCAGCCCAGCTCCAGGTTGAGCTGTTGTTCAGCGTCTTAGCTGTAGAGGGCAGTGTCACTGGCCCTCATATGTGTGATCCAAACCGGGCCCTCTGATGTCCCAAGCCAGTTCTTAACCATGGCGCCACTCGGCCGGCCCCATTCCAGCAGTATTTTAACAAATGTCATGTAATAGAGATTTGGCTGCATCCATTATATCGTGGAACTAGATGCAGCCAAGCTGAATAATTCATATCCCAATGTCAATTAATACAAACCGGCTCATGGCCCCCCAATTCGCCTGATGTATAGAGGAAGAAGAAGGAAGAAGAGACTGCATACCACGTATCTATTCCAGAATACTTAAACCAACACTATTCACTTGTACCTATTATAATAAATTTAAGTTATTTGATTTTTCTAAATAGGCTTGTTTTCAGTATTTTGTTTTGTTTTGTTTTTAGAAAGTGGACCTGGTGCTTATGAATCAGGCATTATGGTAAGCAAAGCTGTAGAAATATATATCCAAGGAAAACTTCTTAAACCTGCAGGTAAGCATATATATTGTATACATAGACACGACCAAAATTAAATGTGGCCTAATATTTATGTTAAAAACAGGCAGTGCTCATCAGGAAGGCCATCAAAAAGCTTCAACTAAATCAAAATAAAAAACAGGTGAAATAAAATACAATACAATTACTTCTCTATGAGATTGGTGATAAAATAAAATTGATACTACATAGAGTTGAGGAATTTTCAAAGAAATATGTATGTTTATACATGATTGACACAAATTTATGGAATCAATTTAATGTTATATATCAAAATTCTAAATGCTGGATTGATCCAGCAATCCCACTCTAGCAGTCTAACCTAAAGACACTTCCAAATACACAAAAAGATGTACAGCCAAGGTTGTAAATATTTGTAACCATGTAAACATGAAAAGTTTCCATCATTGGAGGAAAGATGAATGATGACATATCTACACTATCTGTCATTTAAAAAGACTTAGGTAAAGATCTATTTTTTTTAACTCCCAATAAAATAAGTAGAAAAATGAGTTTTTTGTTAAAATAAAACAAATCAAACAAAATGATCTGTAAAATTGAGCATCAATGGGAATTGGAAGCAGGCTGGAATGAGTGAATACAATAAAGTAACAATTTTTTTTTCATTGTATGATTCAGCACCATTTAAATTTTTCAAAGAACATATATCAGGCCAGATTGAGAAGACAAATAAATTACCTTCCTGCTCCTGAGAGCAGTTTCATCCCTCAGTGGTTCAATTACATACATTCACTCCATCACTTACTCACTAACTCATCCACCCCTCATTCATTCACTCAGTTGTTTTGATTCTCTTAGTTATTCTCTCAGTCACTCATTCATTCTCCCACTTCCTCACCCACTCATCCTCTCATCTCTGCATCTTCAATAAACATTTCTTAAGTATCAATCATATGCATTGGTGGGGTTAGGGAAACCTCTTAAACCATCCTACTTGAATGACGCCATATTGACAAGGCTATTCCTAACACTATCACCTTTTTTTTAGATTACTATCTGGATTAGTTAATTGGCCAGATTGTGGCAAATGAATAAACTCTGTTGTGAATATAAATGAGGTTTATGTAATAGTGTAAGAGCCATTAGCGTTAGTTCTTAATGAAAATTCCAAGAACTGTAGCTCTCTAATAAACATATTCAACCCAAATTTAATGCTTTTGTACAAATTACCTAACTTACTAAACAAATATTTATTTCAGCTAACTGCAGCCTTTTAAATTAATTTGAATCAACTTTTCAATGTACAGCTGAAATTAAATAGATTATTTTTTTAATCTCAAGAAACTTGTACCTTTACCTACTCAAGAATTTTCAAATGTGAGAGAAAAAAATATATAAGAATCATAGCTACATTTTTTTAATGTATGTGTCAATTTTTCTTATTTTCCAGTTGTTGGAATTAAAATTGATGTAAATTCCTGGATAGAGAATTTCACCAAAACATCAATCAGGGATCCGGTAAGATAATTAAAAGAAACTTCTTATGCTAGACTTAATCTCAAATAAGAATAAAAAAAGTACAAATAAAGTCTTATACAGAGGAAAAATAAATTTTCATTTATCACTACATTGAAACAGAAATATGAATCCCTAATTTTCAAAGACTTTTTTGTTTAATCAATTAATATATAATAAAAAGAAAAATATTTCAATGCTATAATTTGAAATGCTAGTTTAGATATCTATTAATTGCGGTCTAATTTTTAAAGATAAAACTATTATCTTTTTTATTATGGAATAGACTATTATTTAATCTTTTATACTAGATAAATTATTCTAAGGTTTCTAGTTGTAACATGGTAGTAATATGATATAATTAAAATCCAACTTTAAAAAAAAGTGAGGTGATAATTGTATTCTGTCTTTCAGTGTGCTGGTCCAGTTTGTGACTGCAAAAGAAACAGTGATGTAAGAAAACTCTTTAATGAAAATTTTTAACTATTTTTTTTCTTGTATTACTCTTGGTAAGACTTTAATGTTAAAAAAAAAGATGCAGGAAATTTTAATTGAAAGCTAAAAGTATTAATCTATGGAGTTGTGAACTAATTCATAGATAAGAATATGAATTATATGCTTTTAATACTAACCTTAAATGCTTCTAGTTTTAAAAATATTCTATTTTATGGGAAGATATAAAAAGAACCACATAAATATGAACTGTATTCGCTTCACCTCAATTGTGCTAGATTATTTTGTACACATTTATCTTTACCTCTGTTCCTGGATGGGAAGTTTCTAACTAAAGTGTCCTTGTTGGTTATCAACGTAGTCTTCCCTCATGGTTTGTATTTTCTCTGAATTTGTTCAACACTGTAGTTTCAATGATGAGAAAAATTTTTAACTAAACCTAAGAATTATATAATTTATTATAAAGTTCCACTGACATGGACTGGATTTCACACTGTCTTCTATTTTATTTCCGTTTGAGAAATTGAAAAAGCAAATGTGGATCTCTTTGTTCAAAAGTTAAAGATGCTTTAAGAATGATGCTAGATGAGTTATTCCAAGAATGAATAAAGAAGAATGAAATCCACTGTTTTCTTCTAGGCCTCTTACGTGTGTGTGTGTATATTTCCAAGGGAAGCAGAGGGTGCATATCATCTTACCATTTCTAGTTCTGCAAAATTTTAAGCTAATAATTTTAATTATTTTTGTAGTTTATCTATTTTACATAGACTTTATATGTATATGTCCCCAATTCTAAAAACAACATTTTAAATTGTGATTTTGTACAATAAAAATTACTACATATATTCATGAATTTAAACTAGGTGGGAATTTATTCTATATTTTAGGATGGATGATTTTTTTTCCTTAGTCATGAGCATTCCTTGTTTTGCCTTTTCTTTTAAATCTCAAATTATCCAACAAAATAGTTTTAATATAAAATAATTGTAAATATCCTCAGGCTGCTAGTTTGTTTTTTTAAGCCTGTGAAGTATGGTGACTAAAGTTCATTTTTAAAAATATCTTTGTCAAAATCTTAAGTTTCTGTTTAAAATAATAAAATATTTATGCATTATTAAATATGTTGGTCTCTCCAATTTCCTGAATCATTTAGATGACCTTGGAGTAGCAAAAAGATTAATTTTGATTTTTTTCTTATGATTTGTTCAGACTGAGTTGGCCGTTTTAACTAGATAGATGTGATGGAATACCAAGCTCTGAGGATTTGATATGAATCTATACATATCCTTAATTTATTTCATCAGAATCTCTTGAACATATATATGTTCAAGAGAAGATATAGTCATTCGATTTTTTTCTCCTATTTTTGTTATTATAGTCATCTCATATAATGAAGGAAGGATAATGAAACCTCCTAACCTTCCTACAAATGTGTTAATAGTTATTTTTATTTTGATAGGTTATGGATTGTGTGATTCTAGATGATGGTGGGTTTCTTTTGATGGCAAATCATGATGATTATACAAACCAGGTATGTACCCAAAGTGGGAAGAAGTAGGCTTTCCAAAGTTTGTTTTCCTGATCAGCATCATAAAACTCCTTCCCACCATTATAGAAACTGCTGAGCTGTATTTCTGTCATAAATTTTAAAGTGCTTGATATAGTATAAATCATTAAGAAATGGCATCCTAATCTAGTTGTTCTTATGTTTGTTAGTTCAGTTTACTTTCTGGTACTCGCAGTTACTGTTAAAACATACAGCTAAAGATCTTAACATAACATGAACTTTTTTATTTTTGATCTCCTGCAAATTTAGAAAATGTCCATATCTTCAACATTTATCAGTTGATAATGTCTAACTTAACACTATGTAGCTAGTTTGAAACAACTGAAGTTCGTAATACCAACTTTGCAAATTGGTAGCACATAGGCTTTCATTCACATAGGATTTTAAATAAAGTAGAATTCATTGCCAACTAATTTCATTTCTGATTCTACACTACTGGCTTCTCTTAAGAAGAAAAGAAAATATCTCTCAACACCAAAAATAGATTTTCCCTATCCGACAATGTTTATGCGTTGGAGTTTAGGATTGCTCCTGTAGATGGGACTCACTACCATTCATCACAGTCCCTACAAGTTCATATCTTTTTTTAGTAGCACCCATTTCTCTCATTTATGCTACTTTTCTCTTCCCCAGGAGGCATTTGATTGTGACCTTAATGCTTAGGAAACAGTGTCCTTTCCTGCCACAAATATCACACAGAGCGCCCGAGTAATGAGAACAGCTAAGCTCATTTGGGTTCTTTCGGAACGTCATATACTGATTTATAGTATTGCTTACTTTTGTTTTAAAGCTCCTGAGTAGTTTTAGGATGCCGTTTCTTTGTATTATTTCTTTTCATTGCACTGGTTCAGGTGTTAATATCTGACTTTAATTTGAAACTTTATTTTACTATATTTTTCTGTACTAGATTGGAAGATTTTTTGGCGAGATCGATCCCAGTTTGATGAGACACCTGGTGAATATATCGGTCTACGCTTTTAACAAATCTTATGATTATCAGTCAGTTTGTGAGCCCGGCACTGCACCAAAACAAGGAGCCGGGCATCGCTCGGCATATGTGGTCAGTAACCCCCCATCAGCCCTCCTTCTCCCGGGGACACTCAGTGTATGTTAATGAAATGACCTTTTTATTGTATTTTATAGCCATCAATAGCAGACATATTACACATTGGCTGGTGGGCCACTGCGGCTGCCTGGTAAGTCAAAATTGTGTTTTTATTGGTAGTGAGAGAAAAGTGTTGTGAAATGGTAAAGAATTGGATGACAGTATGGATTCTGTGACATGTAAATAATTATTATGAGTTACTTTTTTTCATTTCCTAGAGCACATATTGGTCATATTAATAGTTCTTCCTAAATGATCACTGTAAAAATGTTACAATTATTCCATTTGTTTATATGAAAACCATGTTGTGCTCATGCAAATGTCAGCCTCTTCAGAAGCTTCTTTTTTCCTGTGGATCTGTTGTCTTTTCATTTGTGTCTCATCGTTATAGTATATACAATTCTTTAAATTTTAGGTATTTTCATCTATACTATTTATTGCCTTCAATATCCAAGGTAGATGTCCTTATTGCTCCATGCTTTGATATGACGTGATGATTCATCTTTCTGCCTCTTTACTATTCATACAAAGGCTGGCAGAGTTTTAGAGGCATGCTATTGCTGAAATGGATCCAATAAATGGAATTTATTGATTCCATCCTCCTGCCTCTTTCACCCTCACACCTATACCCTTCCACCTATGAAAATAAGACATTTAAACTGCTTATTGCGACACTGTGAGAAGACTGGAAGATCAAACTTGGCATTGTTTGGTTCTGGTCAGTCAAGTAACTAATCCTCCTGTTGTGTCTGGGACCCATGCCTCCCTCCCTCACCGCCTTCCTCCTTACATTTCTTATGATCAATGCCCTACTGTATCGTCCAAGTTTCCTTCCATGTAGGTTAATCTCTGACATCCACTTGAAGTCGAGGCTTTCCCAGCTAAAATTAAAGGATTATAAAGTAACAAAGATTTTAGATTAAAAATCCTATTTTTTCTGAAAAGAAAAATTGTGCTATTGGTGCTTTATTGTCATGACAATGATATTTATATGGCAACCTCTATTGATCCTAAATACTTGATTGCCTTTATGTTATTTTCTGTCCAGAATACACGCCTCCTCCCCTCCCACTGCCTGTCATTCTTTTTTAACTAAACTCAGTTCCAGATGATTCTGTATTAATATTTGGCTTGACTGTCATTTCTCATAAAACTGAAATGTGTCATATATCCTATATATAATATGTATATCTTATTTCATGAATGTCACATTATGTATTTACAAATGCATTCTATATTGTGCAGTAAATAGTTTGTAAACTCTAGTTTGGCACAGACGGAGTCATTTTGGTTTGGTTTTTGGGGATTTGTCTTCCACAGAGTTTTAAAAACTAAAATAAGGAGAAAATCCTAAATTGAAAACTACAAAATGAAATATTGACATTCTCCCTCTGAGAGTTACCTCTTCTCCACAATCTCATTTCATCTTAGGCCTCTTCACATGTGTGTCACTCATTAGTCCTAAACACATCTGTTTTCATGCCATCTTTAACAGAAATATATTTAAATATTTTGTATAAGTTAAGAAATACTTATGTGAATGTGCTCCTAAACCTTTTATTAGCATATTCACAATTTTTTTCCAAAAAGATGAAAAGGAAATGTTTATGTGTATATTAAAAAATATGCAGGTTTTTATTATGTAATTTATCAAGGAAATTATCTACATTTTTATCATAATTATTCATATTTGAAATTCAGGTCTATTCTACAGCAACTTCTTCTAAGTTTGACCTTTCCACGACTTCTTGAAGCAGGTAAGTGAATGCTCAGGTATTGTCATAATAACAATTAAAATTTTATTTTTGGATGTGCTGAGAGTTCAAGAAACTCAGTGAGAAAGTGTGGGTGTGTTTGTGTGTGTGTGTGAGAGAGAGAGAGAGAGAGAGAGAGAGAGAGAGAGATCATTCATTTGAGACTTGTAGGTTAAAATTGTTTTGTCAAAACTTTCCTAATGCTTTAGAAATGGTACTACGTCACATTGGACTCTATTTTATAACTATTATGTATTTGAATTAATTTATATTATTGATATTTATTTGGGCACCTATTCAGGGCTGCCACTATATTACCCAGCAGTAAACAAGTCTATCAGGGTGCCTGCTCTTATACATTTGTTTTGCTCCGTGAGAAACAAAGGCTCTGGGGAACTGCCTGTAATGACCCCTCATAATGGCGGTCTTTCTTTCCCCACAGTTGAGATGGAAGATGAAGATTTTACAGCCTCTCTGTCAAAACAGAGTTGCATTACTGAACAAACCCAGTATTTCTTCGATAATGATAGTAAATCATTCAGTGGTGTATTAGACTGCGGAAACTGTTCCAGGTAATTTGTTTCTTCATTTCTGGACTAGTGCTATTTCACTAAGAAATTGTACTCACATTTATAATCTTTATGGAAAATAATGGAGATTGCTGTTTCAGTCTGAGAGATATGAGTAACTGTTTTAAGTTAAAACATCAGAGATCTTCAGTTTCTCTGTAGATTTTTAAAATTTTTAATTTTTAAAATTAACTCTGATAACTTATAATCCCTTCAGTTGTAATATTATGTGATCAAGAAATCCACGCCCACTTTTAGGCAGAACACAGAGAAATCTGATTATACTTTAATGTATTTTTTGTCTGAAAGAACCCATATTAAAATGTTTGTAATATAGAAAAAAGTTGTATACTCATTCTATTAAGATTAATTACATAAATAAGTCTAAGTAATTCTCAGCCAAATATTTGTTTTGTTTTTTTTTACATATAGTTACTAAACTGGTTTATAAAAAATATTCAGTGGTGTGTGTTTTACTTCTAGCTTTCACTGAAATTTGCATTGAAGATATATTTGATTTGAAATTGAAAGAACTAAGAGAAAATATCATTTTCTAAGATCAAGGTTAATGTTAGTCAATATCCATATCCATATCAATATCTATAAAACATCTTGAAAAATGTTGGAAAGAGGCAGAGAATTTAATTTGGTTGTAATGGGATAGAGGAGTAAGGCACTGTGGGGATTTTTGAAGTTTTGAGAGGAAAGTGACAATCTATGTCACAGGATACCTGAGAACAGAGCAGAAAGGCACAGCTTAGAAAGGAAAGAGTTGGGATACTTTGTTTTTAGCAACTTGGGGCAGGTTATTCTAGAAGACATGTAAATATAGAGAAGAGGAAATATGAGGCGATGAGGTAATCTGAGCATGTGAAAGGACTGGGATAGGTAGTTGCTAGGATTTCAGAAAAGAAGCTTGTAACTGTTAAAAAATGTTTTCAGGAATGGGTTAAATGAAACGAAACTAGTATGAGTTTTTAATATCTGTGGTCAATATGATTTTATGACTGACTTCAGCAAATCTCTGCGTCCTAGGGGAAGGTAGAGGGTATGAAAAGGAGCAGAAAGGGGAAAGTCAGGCATGAATTCAAGAAAAATGCAGACCATCTTGTGTAGAGATTAATGTTTGAGGCTATTAACTTCTGGAAACAACATTGTAGCGTGTTTAATGGGTACATCAGAAAGAGTTTCACAGTCCTTTGGCCTTTCATTAATTGCTGTCCAGTAATAGCAATGGGTGCTTTAAAAATTGACTGAATTAAATTGTGAAGATCAGTATAACCAAGGTATTAAGTTGAACCGTGGTTTCTTTTGATTTGCTTTGTCCTTGTGTCCCAATTTCAATGGGAAAAAAAGCAAGAAAATCCCACATCTTTGAAAATATATAATCATAAAGAAGTTACCGTTTAATGACAGATTTACATTTTTATATTGGTTGCTAAAGAAGGCAGAAGCAGCTTAAGGTGTGGAAAAGCGAATGCATGGAAAAAAAGCCTTGATTTTTTTCTGTATCTGTGTTGTCTGATTCAGTGGTGAGGTGCTGCCACACGTAGCCCTTCAGTTACAATGAACAGTAAAATTGTGTGTCTCAGTCACACTAGTAGCATTTCAGGCGCTCAGTAGCCTTATGTGGCTGTTGTTTACCCTACTGGATAAAGCAGGAAACATTTCCATCTTCACAGATAGTTGGCTGAACAGCACTGCTCTAGACTTTATTCTGCCATTAGCTAGGGCAAGATGCTTAGCGTTTTTTGTGCTCCTAGTTTTCTTATCTGTACAAGGCAACTTTGGCATATTTCCAGTGATAAAGACCACAATTCCTTAAATGTGTAAAATAAACCACTTTTTTTATGAGATTCAACAATTAAAGGGTACTTGTTTTGCATTGAAGACTAACACTTAAACACACTGGAAACATCTATTGCAATATTAGTGTTCATTTGAGAGAGGTAAGATGTGAATAAATAAAGCACAGTATCTCTGAAATCATTCTCATTCTGTTTTACTGTTTGTTGGTGATGCAATGTGTTTCAAGATGTCATACTTTGTCTTTCATGTTAATATGTAAGAATTTTTTAAATTTATTTCTTTCCTAAAAAATAATATTCTGTTATTTTTTTTACATACTTATTTTACAGAATCTTCCATGTAGAAAAGCTTATGAACACCAACTTAGTATTCATAATGGTTGAGAGCAAAGGGACTTGTCCCTGTGACACCCGACTGCTCATACAGGCAGAGCAGACCTGTATCCTTTGACATCAGAGAGCTTTGGGATGGAAAACCATCTTAAAGTAATGCATGTTTAACCTTGTCACCGTGTTTATGCTCATAAAAAGGAAAATAGAGTGATCACCTCAAGGAGGCGGAATGGAACCCTCATGCAAAATTTGGTTTGCATGTCAAGACTAATGATACTACACATGCACCAAAAGAACATGAAAGGTTTCTGACTCGCATAATGAGGCTTCACGGAGAGAGCAGTGCAGGTTCCCAAGGATATCTGAACGTGGCTTGCAAGGGCAAGGAAGAGCAACTGGCTTGGGCTTTTATGGTTGTTCGGGAATGGGTAGCTATGCTGGCTGGGGCTTGTGTGGCTCAAGTTTCCAGGTGGGGCCAAAGGAGGGAATACTTGAACTTCCCTATCGGCTTGCCCAAATGTGGGACAGAAGGAAAAAGGGAGTGTTTTGGCTTGAAAGCTGTCAATAGTCAGCCATCCAAAATGGAGTCAGATGTGGTCTACACATATAATGGAATATTATTCAGCCTTAAAAAAGAAGGAAATCCTGTCATACACTACACCTGCAATGTCAGTAACACCAAAAGTACTTCTGTTGGTAAACATGCAAAGTGACATACAATGACTATTAAAGCAATTTAGGCAGAGGTTTTTGTAAAGTGCCTATAATTTTTTCATTTATCCGTGCTGTTTTGGGGGGAAAAAAAAGTTCTCACATATGTTTAGAATTTACATTTATTAATATTATTAAGAATTAGTGTATGTTTCTGTCTTACTAGGATATACCCAGGTCCTCCCTTGTGCTGTTTTTACAAGTATGACCCTATCTTATACTCTGCATCATTTGTGCATTTCATCCACCTATATGCTACAAATATTTATTGAGTACTTGCTATGTGCCAAGGATCATATACAGTAAAAATCTAAAAAGTTGATCTCTTCATGCAGCCCCTAGTCTAACAAGAGAAACTTTGTAGCGGTTTAATTCCTTAAATCTCTAAGTACTTAAGCTGGTTGTGTTGGACTAGAATAATTGCGTAGGTATCTCTTACTTGCTTTGGAAAATAAATATATTGCATTGTCTTTCTTTAATTGTGTGAAAACAAGTAACTTCATATTCCTTAACGAGTTTCTTTAGCCGATGGTCCAGATCCTTGTGATATGGTTAAGCAACCCAGATACCGAAAAGGGCCTGATGTCTGCTTTGATAACAATGTCTTGGTAAGACGAAACATTTACTGTATTAAATACTATAGCACAATGGTCATTACCCACAAAAATTTAAAGAGACAAATTGCAATTTTAACTCAAACATGATGTCTTAACCATAGTGTTTCTCATTAACATGATGTACTTGCCGGTAAATAGAGTTTTCATTTCGATATTGTTCATGGTTAGCATAAGCTTAACAGTTGCTTCTTCTATCTGTCCTTCCCACAGAAATTGTACTTTCAAACACAATTCCAATTAATGTACTAATAAGCTAAGGTTACAAATCTGATTATTTTAAAGACTTTCTCATCTATAGTAACTGGCAGTAAATGTTACTTATAGTATATGAGTTGCCTACCTTCATTTACATTCCAATTTTTAACATATAAAAGTTACTTTTATTAGTTCATGTTTAATCCTTAGTCAGTGTATTGAAAAACCTGTTAAACAGCTACCATTTTATATTTCTACCTTTTTTTACGTGGTTTCTGAGTCTATCATATGTTAGATTTATATTATCTTCTTAACTGTATTAATTTTTGTATTGTTTGAAAATGAGACCAAATCAATTAACTTGATAAAATTTACAAAACATATTAAATGTACGTTATTTAAACACAACTACTGATTTCCCTATAGGTCAGCTGTCTCCCTCTAACAAATACTATTCTGACTTACTATGTCTGTAATATTAGCTTTAGGCTTTTAAAATTATTTTATTAAGAAACTTTATTCTCAAATGAAAACTACAAAATGCCTCCCCACATTTAAAAACTAATTTTAAATCTATTATGTGCCTTTGCATTAAGTGGCTTGCACACACTGGTGAGTGTGCAAACACAGACCATTATCATCTTAGGAACTGTTTATTCTCAAAACATGTTAGGTCACCTATTGATTAATGTGCATTAATAGAGGTTGTTACGTATTTATTTAGAATAGACTTACCTATTGTGGACTTATTTACTCCAGTACACATGGCCACATTTGTCTCAGAAAGAATAAGGCGTTTCCATAACTACATATTATGCAGTTCGACAATATGAATTAGAATTGGAGCAAAGAAGGAATGAAATCAGTGATGGTGAATAAGGCTAAAAAAGCAAGATGTTTTAGCAAATAAATCTGTTATCTCTGTGAGGACAATTGTGCATTCCTCTTTGAATGGGAAAAGTGATTCAAAGTTGCAGCTAATTGTTCTTTTTCATTAACCCCGTTAGACTTAAAATTCAGGTCTGAGGACTTCTGTTTCTTAATTGACTCCACCTTCCAGAGCTTTGCCCATGTCAAATCATTCTCCAAAGGATGTTGTATGTGGTCCCAAGGGTAGTGTTGTTGCTCGTAGGGAAGCTTCACTCATCAGCTATTTGCCTGAGGTTAAATTCATTCAGATGGACTTTAAAGATCATATAAAAACCCTATTACTCAAAATGTTTTCACCCAGGAGACTCTGTCTTTTGATCAAGGCATTTAAAAGATTTGAAAATACAGAAATTTTCAAATATTCAAGTTCTTATCAATGATACAGCGGATTGATTGTGTGTGAAAGTACAACTCTTGCTCAGTAGCTTATTGTGCTAATGATGTCTTGTGTTTCTTTAGCCTTGAAATATTTTGTAATGCTTATTTGCAATGGTCACTTGAATCTGCTCTGGATGGAGGCTCACATAAACTGCTAACTGCCAGCAAATTGCATGAAATCTCATCTTGTATGTCTTCTTTTCTGTGTTTTCTTTCTTTTCCCTGTACTTGCTACTTTGCCCGTTATTAATAGGATCAACTTATATGCACACCGAATCGTGCCTGTACCATGATGTCAGCTCCTATCTTCATTTTACTGCAAGTTTTCATGTGGTGTGGATGGTCAGTCACTTTCTCTAATTTTTCTTTGTTTTTGTGTTTGGCTTGAAATTTTAAAAAAATAATCCATATCCCTAAATACACTATCACAGCTGCCCCAGAAACCAGATTATTAAAATCCTAGCACTAATGTTTTGTAAATAGCTAATTTCAAATGTTGCAAACATTTTTAATCTTAAACAGAACATAACCAGCATCCTATATTTATTTTAAAATCAGTTTTTTTCTCATAGGGTTTGTTCTAAAGATTAAGTCAATGTGGAAAAAAAATTATACATCCTTCATGATCTCTTCCTTATTAAAGAAAAATATATTGTACTAAGGACAATTTGTAGAGCTGGTTATCTCAATTTATTTTCAAAAGATACTAACATAAAATTAATGAATCATTTCAGTTTTATTTCATAAATCAATCATTCTAAGTTTTCTTTTCTTTTATAAACAAATACGATTTAAACAAGTTTTTAGATTTTTCCTACCAAAATATTGATATCATGATTAAAATATTTTAGTATGAGTGCTTCAAATTTCTAAGTTCATTTTACTTAATATTATGTACTTACATTACCTAGGGCAACACTATCATTATTTATTAACCTTTTGACAAAGTTCTGAATTATATAAAGAATATGACTAAATAGATGTTTTAGAGCCTGAGTTTGTGTTCAGAGTTCCATTTATGGTTTTGCAGTTTCTTTTCTGATGCTCTGGAATCACCATGGTTGTTACTAGAGCAACTGCTGTTGTGTTCTTTCTTCATTGTTGTCCAGGTATCCATCGATTAGGAAACCACTAGATGGAGATGTGGCCATTACTATGAATGGAGTGAGCTTATCAGAGGGGGAAAAAGTGGAATAGCAGAGGGAGTTTCAGAACACAATTAAATTTGTCCTGGGATAATAAAATAATGGTTTTCACAGCAAAAAAAAAAAAATCCAAGTAAAAGAAACCTAGCTGATTTTAATACTTAAAAAAAGACCAAAGTTAAATAATCCCTCTCTACGAACATATTTTTTAATTCATGTGTAGGTAGCTATTTGAAATATTGATGCCTTAAAGAATCGAGCCCTTAAAGAAAATTACATAGGTAATCATACCATTTATATATTAAAAGTGTTGCAAAATTATATTTTCTATATTTGTTTCTATTTTTGATTATAATAGAAATGAGCAACTAACGCTTATGGGTAATATATAATGGATAGTCTTACAAAGATAATGTAGATGGCATATATTTTGCATTACAAGACTTAGGTTGGTGATTTAAAAACACATTTATCAGTGTAGAACATTGAATCTGGTCTATGCAATTTGAGTATTGCTGTGATGATATCGAAGAAAGAATTTTGCCTGAAACAATAGAAAGTTGAAAGAAATAACATAAAATATTCCAAAAATAAAACTGAGAAGTTAGTTGACAGTTTCTCCCCACATTGAGGACCAATAAAGGTCAAAGTCTAAGCTACAATGTTAGTCTGGTTATGACTAGGAAATTGTGGTGGATTCAATTCTGCTCACAGGAAAGCTGGAGTGGTGGTGTCACCTTCTAAATGGTGATATCTCTAAGAATTTAAAAAGTGGCTGTCTCACGCTAGAACCCTTATACTCTGCGGAACCCAAAAAGGATATAATTATAGGTGTATAATTATGGAGCCCAAACCATGAGGACTTCATCAGAACACAAGTGTTCAAATGAGACCTTTGGATAAGAGCTTTTTGAAGACTAAGTGGTAAAGGAGAACAAAAGATAAACAAACAAATAAAGCTAAATTTTCTTTATCAAAGAAGAAAGTAAAGCACGCCAATAATATGTGCCACTGAAGAAATTCATTATTTTTTGCAAACTAATTTATAAAAATACATTATTGGGTATATGAAGAATGCAGAAATAAACGTGTGCATACATATACACACATACATTTAAATAGTTAAACAAATATACTACCTACCTCATGAGTTAATGAGGTGTGTTAAGGTGCTGTGTAGGAGAAAAAGTTATTTGTTAGGGATTTTATTCCTATTAAGAGCATCTCTGCATAATACCCACCTGCCTAAATAATTTTAAATATAGATTTCCTTTGAAGCTGTTATTGGGTGACTTAAGTGCAAACATAGCTAAATCCAAAAGTGAGCCTTTATTTGGTGGATGTCTTCACCAGTGATTTGCCTTTTGAAAGAAATTTAATGATGATTATAATTTAGAAAAGAAAGAATGCAAACTTCTCAGCCAAATAACCTAAAACTTTTCTCTTGGGAAAATTTATTTCTAAATTTCAAGTCTTGGTAAATGAGGTTGCCCATGCAAAACGCATGAGAAACCATTATAAGGAAACTGAAGAGGCAGATTTTTCATTGTGAATCAACTTACAAACTTCAGGGACTCCAAATAACTTATCTAAACTGCCACCTACCAGCCTGAAACAGACATATCTCATCATCACACACAGGAAATGAAACGGGGGGGGGGGGGGGCAACTAAAAATATAAACAATGGAATCAAGCCAGAGAGAATATTTTTCTTTCCATAATACATTTCTAGAATATAAAGATGTATTTTACATTAATAAGAATTTATTTGACAAAATATATCCTTAACACATTCATGGGTCTTGTTTGTGTGATAAATTCCCATTCTATCAAATTAATACTTAACTAGAACTAGGGCGCCCTCCTGGTGAAATGACAATTAAGCCTTTAAGTTAGTATTGTATGCTTGCTGTGTTTCTAAGCAGTTAATATATGGCTACTTTATTGAGTACCAGCTGTTCATTTATTAAGTACTTATTGTACACCTACTATGTATCAGGGTGCTCTTCTATTTGTGAGATATTTGAGATATGTTTCAACTAAAAAATAATTAGTTGTTTTCATCTGAAATTCTAATGTAACTGATCACCCTGTTTTTTATGACGGTACCCTACATAGAGGGAAAAATATTTGAACAAAGAGCAAGTACAAAGGCCCTGAGATAGTAAACACCTTGGCTTGTTACAGAGAAAGCCAGTGTTATTGGAGCAGAATGAGTGATGGAGGAGGGAAGAGAATACAGTAGTATGAAGGAGAGACAGCCAGGCTCCAGACCACATACAGCTTTGTAGGCCTTGTTAAGAAATTTGGATTTTGTTCTGAGAGTGATAAGAAATTTCAAG